ATTGCTAAATATGAAATGAAAAAGATATTTTGATACAAAATAATGAAACTTGTCGATTTCCAATCTTCCGAGCAATTACTGAGAGTCTCTTGGACGCCAATCGACAATTAAACGCCTCCCTTTGGGCTACACTAGGTCTATTTTCACAAAACCTTGTTTTTGCCCCCAACGGCCGAGTGGCAACAAGGGCAACTCTACAATCCTCGCAAACGGCCCGGAGGCCGCGCGGTTGACCTGGCGTCGCGCGCTGCCTGTGGAAGCGTGGCTCCACCTCGCGTCTCGGTCCGATCCATAATCGTCCGTTCAGGTGGATGCGGCCCGGGACCACATATTACAAAGTTAAGGACGCTCCACAAAAGCTCACTCCCGGCGAGGAATTCCAGCGCGGAAAAGTTCGGCCGCTTCGAAATTAATCTCCGCGAAGATACCCCGGTTCATCCGAGGGTGGAGAATGTGGGATCGCCGTCGGGGACGGACGTGAACTTACGGAAGCCCTCGACCGTTGTTTTTTCTTTTTTTAAATCGATTTTTGTGAAGAAATTCTGTAATCGCGGAGCTGTACGAGGTATCTCTTGATTTCCAATCAATCCGGCCCTGCCTTCCTTCCTGGCGAATTCATCCGGAAATGTGCATCCGGAAGACCTCAAAATTGATAGGAGGGAAATTCTTTCCGGAATTTTTAGTTCGTATTTCGGTATGAAATAATTTGGAGTTGATCTACCGATTTTTAGCTGAGCATCCTATTCATCCCTTCTTTTACTCACTAAGGCCTGGCGAATTCATCCGGAAATGTGCATCCGGAAGACCTCAAAATTGATAGGAGGGAAATTCCTTCCGGAATTTTTAGTTTGTATTTCGCTGTATGAAATAATTTGAAGTTGATCCACCGATTTTTAGCGTAGCATCCTATTCATCCCCTCTTTTACTCACTAAGAGGTTGCCATTAATCCAACCAGAGCGTGTTCCTTTTTTTCCCCCTATTCAGGATGCTTCAACAACAATAAGAGTTCTATCTTTTTCTAGAGTTGACTATCTTTCGATTTCAGTATCTCCTCGAAACATGACCAGTCAGTTATTTTTACCTCCAATGAAGACTACGGAAGTGTCTGAAGTTTGATGAATTTTATTTATTAAAATGAAAACCACTGAGGAAACTAAGCGAGAAGAGGTCCTTGCTTTATACAAATAAATTAAACGATTTCTCGAGGTGTCGTTGAGTAGATGCAGAATGCTCTAATCTGCCAAAATAAAATAGAGTTTAAGTCAGAAATTCCACATTATGACTGCAAAAGCTTTTTTTTTTTGCTGCAAAAGCGACTTTTATGTATGTAATTTCCCTTTTACCTCCCACATCAGAAAACAATTGTTAAGGGATGGAGTAGGTTTGTTCAGCTCGTGGACACTTTAATATGTAACAATGCCATCTTCTGCGAATGCGAATTTTTCATCCAGCACTAACGCACCCTAAGCATATTACTGTCAATGATTAACTTCAATAAGGAGTCTTAATTCAATCAGGTGGTCCAACGCCGTTTTGTTCACATACATGGCGTCAGTTTGTACAAATCTCTAACTTTCCATCCCATCTTCTCCTGCTCTCCTCCACGAAAAACACGAGCTTAGCTCAATATAATGCGACAGTACGCTGTCAATTTCCGATTATACTCCTGATTTGGGGGCGTATCATCTTTCATGTCTCAAGATCACGGGTCCTCTTGTTTACCAAACACCGGGGCCGCATCTCCCGAACTAAAATAAAATAAGCCGATTAAGCGCTCAAAAAATTCACTCATTTAGCCCGCTTATATTCTAACCTCCACGCCACGCTCGGTCGGTTTCCACATTTTAAAGGGTTTCCGTTCGCCGCAGCTAGCTCGGCGGTGTGAATAAAATAATCGCTTTTGAATTTCAAATCTTGTTCCCTCTCGGATCTCCCCCCCCCCTCTCCCGCTTTAGGCCCCCCGCCTTGAGAAAAAACGCCGCTTGAGCATTCGAATTCTGCCAAATTTTCTCTGATAAAACGATTTATTATGATCTCTTTGGTAGTATCCAGTTCAGTAATTTTTGAATCACGTTTATTTATTTATTTTACTGCTTCTATTTTATTTCTGCTTATTCTACATTAAAAGAACAACTTAATTTGGGAAAAAGACCGCAAATAAAGAACAAAGAATGAACAAAACCCGGAACGTTTCAAAATAGTTACCATTTCATTTTCAACCGGAAAATGAGAGAGGAAAATTTCTTTTTAGGATTTAAATACTTTCTCCATCTGGAAGGAGAGCATTTAATAAAATAAAAAATGATCATCTTTGCAACATTTTTGTAAGACTGAATTGTCTAAAAATCCTCCGTGAAAATTAAGGGCGAAAATTAAAAGATTTTCCGGAAAATTGTTATCTTATAACCGTTGAGCATTTAATGTGTAATGGTTATCTTTTCAATCTGTTTGTAAAACTGCGGTGTCTGAAAATTTTCAAGTATACTAGAACAAAAGTAAACTTCTCAACGAAAATTAAGGGCGAAAATCAACAGATTTTCCGAGAAATGGTCTTTTCATCAGCGTTGAATTTGGCAGCGTTTGAAAGCTCAAGCGGCGTTCTGCCCGGGCAGAGTGGAAGTCGTTTGCCGCTCATTTTGATGGATCGATTCACGCTTTCAACGCGAATAGTTCCGTCCGATATTTAATAAAATGCAACATATTTTTTTGCCCAGCGTGTATATTATCTCGGGTAAAAAAGCTGATGCCCTATCCGGTGGCTGAGATTAAAAGGATTAAGTATTAGTGATGCGAAATGAAGTGTTGAGTTCGATCGATCGTGACGAAGACATATCCCTCGTCTCGGACGTTTCGTGTTCTTGCTGCCGGTCTGTGTTCGTGGAAACTGGTTTCACGAAAACTGATCTATCAATTATTGCCGTCGTAGAATGTGTGAAGAAACGAATATTCGACATCAAAGTGGGCGCTATTTCTATGTTTTCGTTCGGCCCAGCAGGCCCAGCACCGGATTAGATCCAAATACGTGCACGCAGAAAATAAATTGGATGGTCTTGGGCAATGAAGACGTATCTGTAGATAAGTTCTTAGAGTCCTTAACGAAAAAATCCTATGTGAAACAGTTTAGGACTACGCTCGAACACTAATCACCACCAAAAAACGCTTGTCCTCACGATTAGACTCGTGAGCAAAGTGAGCATAGAGTTATCCTCACCTATATGATTCCATTTTGCAATTAGGAACTACTATTTTTTGATCATTTTCAAACGAAATATGTGTTACTAGTTTCTTCATGCAGATATGTGCTTTTATGAGTAACCCAGAAATATAAGTTACATATAGCAAAATGTAGTCTACTTTTACTTTTTATCGCACTTAGTTTTCAAAGAAAAAGCTTTAAAATAATGTCTCCATCCAATCGCTTACTTCAATTTAGTCTTGAGAGAACTGTACTGTTTTTGTAGTAGTACCTTATCAAGTATCGTCACGTGGATACAGTTCTCGACGTTCACGGGTCTGCGATAGTTGCTTATCCCAGGTTTTCACCTTAGCCACGATCGGCGCTCTTACCTAAAATTTTGACACGCCTGTTATTTTCCTGTGAGAATCTGAAGGCTTCAAGCACTAGAAAAGTAACATATTTTCAGTTACTTAAACACTTTAGTCATGCGTATCCTATTCAAATTGCTGAATGATTGTTCAAAGGCAAGCCAAGGCTGGGAAGCACCCGAAAAATTTTGAAACTATGATCGTCACAAAAACTGAGTTCCCTCATTTCGTGGTCCTGGAATAGGTTTTATCTCGAAGAAATCAAGACGGTGTCCAATATATGTCACTATATTTTATATGATTTCATTGCGCCGAAGAACAGGCTACAAGTGACATTGATTACATTAGTAATATTCTGATTTTTTGCGTTCCTCCTGGTGGGTTATTAGGCATTCAAATTACTTCCAGTTGATCGCCCAGAATATTCAAAATAGCGAGCCTTTTCTACCCAAAAATAATTGATACGGAATACTCCGAAGAAGTAGTTTTTTTATTTCCTCGTGTGTGATCGCTGTGTTTTCAGCATTTTAATTAATTAAAAAAAAATAAAAATAAAGAAAAAGAAAGAAGAAGAAAGAAATGTGGTGAGCTCGAGGGAGGACTGGCTTCTTCAAAAACCACAGCTTAGTTTAATTCATGTTGACCACGCATGAATGAACCGAAACGAGTCGACTAAATTTTTTCTCTCGCCGTTTTTTTTTCTTCTTCTTCTTAATCTCTGATAGCTCGCCGTAGCCAGTTTCAGCTTTCTTTCGTTTCTCAGCAATTAAATTTCCTTATTTTCGCGTGAAAAATTCTCACATTCATTCTTTAGACTCATAAGGGATTCCATCTTTCAATAAAACTAAGCTCATGGATCGACAAATACGCACTAATTGGTTTGGCTTAGGTCCAGTCCTGAAATCATTGACTTATAATCGTAAATCGTGCCTATAGCATGAAGACTGACATTTAAGTCGGACGTTTTACAATTTTATAAATTACCACCAGTCGTTGAAAACTATTCTGCTCAAATTCCTCAGGAAAATCCTTAGCTAGTTCATCAGTCCTTCCGTTAGACACTAGATCAAACCTCCTCTTAGCATGCCATCATTTTTCTTTCAATGGCTCGAATCCTAATCTTAACCTAAAAATTCTGATCGTTGAAAAATCTGATGCTAATAAAAAATTCATTTTATTTTTGCCTTTACTTCAAAAGTATTTTTGTGGATCATCCTGTAGACCTAGCAGAGACCAGCTATGCTGTCTCCTTCTAGGAAAAGTAAAAGAACGCCGTTTCAATCAAAATTTTATTCATTACTCCCTTAATTTCAATAAATTTACTATAATAAATTATTAACTCAGTTAGTTGTGGTTCTCTGCCTTTTCAGTGTACTTTTTTCAGTGTAATTTTTTCAGTGTTTCTTTCTGTGTTTTTTCCGAAGTCTAACCCTTGAATTTCTTTTTTGTGCAGGTTCTGTAGCAGGACGAGGACACCCTGTGATACTAGCATTCCGCTCCCGGACTGAACCCATCCGTACAAAGTCTAGAACTTCGAATCCGGTCTCGCCTTTGTCGGACCCAGCCGCTCAGAATTTGAATTGCTAAGTGGAAAACACACGATGATCTCTTTATTTTATAAGATTTAGTTTATATTTTTATACGTTTATCCGATTCATGTGCCTATACATTAATAAATTTTTCGAAATACTCGCTGAAACGGCGTTTTTCTCCTTTCGAACCCGAGCCATGCTCCCGTTCTGCCCCGAGATCTGATGCCTCAGCAGATCGATTCAGGTTGCGGATTCGCGTTCCCATAACCCGATTCCGCTTCCTGGGTTCTCTCTCGTTTTATGCATTCGGGTTTCCGATAGCTCAACAGTTTTCCCAATATTAGTGGATTATTACTTTTTTCATTTCCTCTCCCTCGAAAACTCAAGTATCGAATGTCAGTGATCACGTCATGCAAGAACTAGCTCCGCACTTTTCCATGTCGCTGCCGCTTGTTTTTCCTCCATTTGAATCCATTTACAGACAGTCGATCCTGTGAGAGGCAGTCTGCTTATGCTGCCGTGCTCAGGAAGAACGCCGTATGAGCCTTCAGACGTTGCCAAGTTTCCTCCGATAAGAACCGAAATTACTGGGAAAATTGTGAATATTATTTTCTCAAATTTTCAGACAATTTTGTACACGATTTAATCTATAATATCTGTAAATTTCAAGGAAAAATATGCATGAATTTTGTCAAAAATACAGATTTTACCAAGGGAAATTTGGCAAATTCCGAATGTTCATACGGCGTTCTTCCTTAGTACGGCAGTATATGGATATCGATTGTTTTACGTGCATCTCAATGGACGAAAATCAGAGTTACCTACTGGCTTGCAAGAAATGCTTTTGAATGATGCAAACAGTGGCGAGGTGTGAGTGATCGATAATCGAAATTTCCCCATTTGGAGCTGTTGTAAAGAATCGATCATTAAGATGTTCGTTTTCTATCAATCCATTTCCCTTTTAGGTTTAGATGGAAGATCGATCAGAAAGCACGCCGTGCCACTCGCCACTGAATGCGATGCTTATCAATTGCTTCTCATTGAATTCTTTCCTCTCGCTTTGCTGAAATGCATAACAAGGGTTCATCATTTCGACTGAGATAAACGAGAAATGAGCGAACCTATATACCATCCAACTATTATTATTTTCCACCGTGCTAATGAAGGCGGCTGCGCATGCATTCGAATTTTGCCTCATCAACCCTTCCCCCGTAAAACATCAATTTTTGAGGAATGTCGAGAATATTTTCACTGAATTGAATCTTCCTGGCTCACCAAAGTAAATTTTGAATGAGCCATCGGACGAATTCAAATAAAAATACACAAGTTTCTCACAAAATTTTTATCCCGTAAGAAAAAAGTTGGCAACGTGCGGAAGTTCGTGCGGCATTTTTCCTTAGCACAGAGGTAACGAATATTCAGGCCTTACCTTGTCACATAAAAAGTAGGCAAAAGCACTAAAAAACACTAAATATACATGTTTGTACAATGTGTCGTTCACCAGTCGAAGGAACGTAACTCGAACCCCAATCAATTTGTTCAAGTTTTTATAAAAATATGACTGCGATTTCAACCTAAAATTATTGTTGTTCTTATGTGCGCAATCAAAAAAGAAAAAGAAGAAGAAAAAAAGGAGAAGGCCCTCAGAAAGAAAAACCCAAAATTACATTTGAAAGAATCTTATTTAAATCATGTTATGATAGTGGAGGGAGAAGCCGAATATTTTCAATTTTTATTTTATTTCATATTTTTATTATTTTACTTTTTTTTATTATTATTTTTTTTAAGAGGAAGATATTTCCTTCTATATCGATACAACTTGTCAGAAAAGACTCATTGAAGGAAAAAACAAGACTTGGTTCCTTTCTGCTGAATTTAGTTTATATCACGCATTTGTGAAAAAAAATGAAATTTATAATATGCAATTGCTGCATATCATATTCTCGGATGCTTTCTACATCTAATAAAAGAAGCGATTGAAACAATGCTCCTCTCGTGTGTTAAATTAAAATAATCAGTAGGAATTAAGAAAAAAAATCGTACATTCCATTAATATGTATGAAATTTTTAGATTTTTGAACTGAACCTTCGTCTCAAGAGTTTCTCCGTATAGTAATAGACGAATTACTTCAAAAACGGATCAAGTCTCAAGACTCCAGATAATTTACTATTATTACAGTATAGTGTTGTAAACACAACTAACTTTTGATCATACAAATACTGAGTTTCCGAAATAAACAGAAAATGCATTTAATCCGTAATTTCCTCATTACAAAAGATATGATACTCATGCGTAATTATAGGAATGAAAGTATTATCTCAAAATTTTTAAAACTATCTCGTATGAGTCAAGCACACGCACCGAATGTGCAACAGAAACACAGCATAACTGCGTCAAATTGTATTCAATTTGATGACGAATCAGTGGTTGCCGTCCTCTACCGGAGTTTTTGCTCAGTCACTGTTTCTGAAGCAGCGTGGAAAAAGGTAAGTTGGCAATTTTTTCAAAATTTAAAATTAGCTGGTCAGTGGCGAGGCGTGAATGGTCGATTATCGGTATTTCTCCATTTGAAACTATGGTGAAGAATCGATTTTTAAGGTGTTCGTTGCAAACACCCTGTTTATCGATCCTTTGCCATTGGTTTAAATGGCAGATCAATCGATATATCGCAAAGCACGCCACGCCACTGTAGCTGGTATGAAGATACGTAATAGAACACGTTGACGGTGACTTCGAAAACCGATTGCATATCGTCACTCCTCTGGCATGAAAGGGCCAGTGGCGTGGCGTGCTTTGCGATACGTCGATTGTTATGCCATTTAAACCTACTGAAATGGATCGATAAACAGGGTGTTCGCAGCGAACACCTTAATAATCGATTCTTTACCACTCGTCTAAATGGCATAACAATCGATTTATCGCAATTCACGCCACGCCCCTGAAAAGGGCGTATCTCAATTTCCACGTGAGCCCTATGTTCCGTATGAATCCATACTTCCTGGTGCTCATGTGAAAATAAAGATACGATCTTACGTCAGAGGGACGACGATATGTACGTTAAAGGAAGGGATGCAACACGTGGAATCGAATGGCATTGAAGAATTGAGGTTAGTAGCGTGGCGTGCTTTGCGATATATCGATTGATCTGTCATATAAACCAATGGAAAAAGATCTATAAACAGGATGTTCGCAACGAACACCTTCATAATCGATTCTTTACCATGACTTCAATTGGAGAGATGCCGATAATCGATCACTCACGCCACGCCACTGATTGGGGTGTATTTTTTCACAGGCAATATTAAGTGAAATGTGAGTATTGTCTACACAATATTTAAATCCGGAAAGACAGTTCGTAGAATTATTGGACTATCTTTCCCTTAAAAGTATACGTGAAAAGGGCAATTCGTAAGTCTACTTGCATTTTGTTGACCATTACCATATACCTTATACTATAAACCATTTGAAAATTCAGTGGAACCATGGAAGTCCCAGTTAAATATCGACGATGAAACTGAGAAACCACGTATCTCCACTCGCCAAATTTGTATCATTTGCTTTTTTGACTGTTGAATCTCACTCATCGCACACATCTTGCATGGTTGACCCTCGTCCTTCCAAGATTATTACCTAAAGTATAAAAATGACTAGAAATATTCGGAGCAGTCATTTTGATGCACACCAATTTGGACACGTGTTTTCATAGATTTTCACATTGGTAGCTAGCATAACTGCATAAGTAATAGGAAACATAGCCAAACATTTCAGACTATGAGTTATATCAAGTTGACTTTTTCATGATTTTTCGAGGTTAAGTAATCACACAAAATTATATACAAATCAGGGAAAATAGGCTGCCTACCTGGGAGAAAATGGCACTAACGGCAGAATTCAGAAATTTGAGATTCGGTGGATGGAGGTTTTAAGGAAGCTGTCGTACCTTGAATCGATTATTATTTTGAATGGAAACTGAGGAACACTGTGATGCCAACCAGTGGCGTGGCGTGCTTTGCGATACGTCACTTGATCTGCCATTTAATTCTATGACAAAGTATCGATAAATAGGGTGTTTGCAACGAACACCTTGATAATCGATTCTTTACCATAGTTTCAAATGGGGGAAATATCGATAATCGATAATTCACGCCTCGCCACTGATGCCAACTCGCAAGAATCACCACTGTGGACTATTCGGATTCCTCCAGGACGACAAGAATTCCAACTGGTGATAAATTATTCATGGGAAGTCTTCGTTTATCCAAATCGAAATTTTCCAAATTTTACACTGAGGAGACCGAGAAACATCCAACCGGAACAGATTACATCCAACCTCATATCGCCGTTTTGAGGGAAAACATTCTATGAATATAAGAATGTTGCCTCTGATGAGCCTCAAATTTTCTGAAAATTCGCCTTTGAACTTCTTCAAAATTAAATTCACAATGAAATCCGCCGCGTCTCACAATTTTAAGGACAAATATTCATAGCTCATCTCAAAAATAAACATTGCATTGTGAGAAATTTGACAACATTTCATTGTTTAAATGACGTTTTTCCTCAGCAAGCGAAAGCACCGTGAACTCTGGCCTACCCCTAATATCAGCGTATTAATCCAAGATTATTGGTGATGCAACTATTTTAACTCTTAGGAGGGTTTTTGGCCTATACAGTCAAATGAAGGCGCTTTGTTTGTTTTCCGTGCCTCAGCTCAAATCGGAGTCAGGAGAAAAAGTTTTCATAAGTGTTTCCTCGTTTCGGAAGATCGTCCATGCAGATTCGTAGTGTATGACGTCATCTTTCTGCATTAATCCGTAAAAAATTACGATACATCGATTGATCTGCCATTTAAACCCGAAGAAAAGGATCGATGAAGAAGGTGTCCGCAACGAACACCTCAATAATTGATACATTTGATAGCTTCAAATGGGGAAATTTTGATAATGATAATTCACGCCTCACCACTGATCTACAAGTCAGATTAAAAAATCAGAATTGGATTTTCAGACGGTAAACACTCTGTGGAATCTCAGAAAGTTTGTCATGAGTGAATAAAGCAAATTTTCCTTCACATACTGGTTCTATAGTTGCATTTTTATCGGAAAAATTTGAGAGCTGAACTAAACGTGGACCTTCGAAAGTGACCCCGAGGAATTCAATAAAAAAAAC